AAATTCAAAACTTTCAATAGTGGGAAAAAGAATGAACAAGAACCATACTAGTGAGTAGTAAGGATTGAGTATTGTTGAATCCTCACCACCAACAATAGTGGTAGTACTACTAGTAGGTAGTAAAAAAAAAGGTTATCTGACGAGTAAGAAGAATCTATAATACAAAGAAGTCTTAGTAAAGAGTAGTAATATCCCTGTTTACTACATGAAAKGAACAAGAATGAGAGGCTGGCATGATCAGATGAATGATAGGAATTCATTTGTTATTGCTATGAGGATGTGTTTGTTCTTTGAAATGCATTTCCATCACGTGGGACATAAACCGGGACTCTGGCCGGTATCGGATTACGGGACTCGACTAGACTCGTGCTCGTGTTGAAAAAGTCATACTGTACTACCACTTCATTTAAAAGAACTTAAAACACATAACGTGCGCATGCCTTCGATATTTTGGGTTGGCTGAATAATCTTGCAACCGAAATAAGGATTTCTAGATGTGATGGCACAATTTCCTAGTTTACTATGAGGAAAATGAGGACATCCGAGGATGGCGATCCTACCAGACATTTTCATCACAAATATCCATGAATCAATTCGAACGCGCCAAAAAACATCCCTGATTAGATAAAAACACATGCGACGTGCAACTTTTAGGCGACACTTTTTCCTTGGTTTCGAAGACCAYTGAACCGTACGCAGTACTGTGACGACGAAGTAATGCTCATCTTCAGCCACCTGACGCATTCAATAACCTCTCCTTTAATAATACTGTATCACTTCAAGCGGAACCATGAGGAAGACCGCCCTTCTGTCATTCGCAGTGATCGCTTTTATTTCACACAAGCACGTGACCTATGTCAACGCATTGAACTACGATGTTTTGCGGGGTTCAATATCAACGACAAAAATACACGATAGTGGCCATCGTCGGCAGTTGCCAGAAGCGTATGAAGGGGAACCAAGCCACAAAGAAAAAAGCGACGGAAGCGACAAACAGGATAAAACGGATCGCAACAAGGTAGAATATCCAAGTAGCTCACCTTCTGCGTTGCCTGACAAGGAAGATAAACTGGATCGAAAAAAAGTAGAATTTCCAACTAGCTCGCCCTCTGTACCACCGCCGCCAGATTGGGCACGGCCTTGGAATACAGCGTCCCCGACCTCCTTGCCTCCAAAGTGGGCACGGCCCTGGAATACAGCGTCCCCAACCGCGATGAAAACGACGAATGCTCCCATTTCAACGGGAACACCGAGCTCTAATCGAGAAGTGGCCTCAACGATAACGCCGTCTTTCAAATCATCTCCTTTGTTAGATCCGACTTCTCACGTTGAACCCGTTCTTATGATAAGTCCAACAGCTATCCCAACAACAATCTCATCAATGAAAGAACTTCCTACCCTCACGACGGTATCCAAAACACCAACTCCTACTTTGAAGCCATTTCCTGAACCTGCAGCAGAATCCCCAACAATGGATCCAACTTTGAAACCGATATCGATTTTTCTTAAGCCACCAACGATAGTGCCGTCGGTCATATCATCTCCTACGTTAGATCCGACTTCTCACATTGAACCTGTTCTTATGATAAGTCCAACAGCTATCCCAACAACAATCTCACCGATGAAAGAACTTCCTACCCTCACGACGGTATCCAAAACACCAACTCCTACTTTGAAGCCATTTCCTGAACCTGCAGCGGAATCCCCAACAATGGATCCAACTTTGAAACCGATATCGATTTTTCTTAAGACACCAACACTTTTTGTCGATACCACGACACCATCGCTTGCTTCTGAGCCTTCTTTTTCCAACAGTTTGAAGGAAGCTTCGCCCTTTCTCCTTCTTGCTGAAGAATTGAGCGAAAGGTATGTGACTGATGCGAAACAACCATCGTCTGAACCGACGAAAAATTTTCTTGTAGCAGAAAACTTRAAACAAATTGTGTCACCGTCATTCTTGAATAAAACTTCACAACCTTCGATCAAACCAAGTGAACATGCTACCAAGTYGCCTAGTTTCAGACCTTCYTCCGAGCCTACAACTGATACCACATCAGACCCGACGAGTTTTCCTTCATCCAAAATAACTAATACTCCCACCACAGGCCACTCCGATATTGTAAAACCTGATGAAGGTGAATCTTCCATCGTTGCTAGGSAAAAAATTCAACCAGTCACATTTGATATATTAGTCGACAGAGTCAGCCGGAATACCAATGTTACGAAACTCAATTCTCTTTTCACAGGTTTGATTGACGACTTTTTGAACATGAGAAGCGATGCAACTTGGTATGCTTCTCATCCAAAATCATTTTCTAACATGACAATCGAATCAATTTTGGGTAGATCTGTTCGGGAAGTTCATATGAAAGATGGTGATCAGTCCGTTCTCATTCAATTTATTATAAATGGATTTGTCTCAGTTGAAACAAAAAATGGTGATTYGGACATTGTTACTGCCTCGGTAAGAACGACAAGCCACAACGAAAAGGAAGCGGACTTGAATGAAAATGGACGCGAAGCTTCTTTTACCGAGTTCTTTGATCACAATGTACTACTTTACTTCTCCCTCTGGGGGGCTGATAGTCTTCAAGTAGAGTTGGGAAAAGTTGGCCTTGAGAACCCAATTCTAAAATCAGTTAGTGTAGGAGAGAGGGAGTTGATTGCTTTTGGTGTCGATAAAGATGACAACTATCTGTACGAGGGAGAGCATTCGTTGCAGGATTCAACTACACAACCCATAGCTGGCAGCGTTGATGGTGGAATCGAGTCATCTGCTTCACCGTCAATTTTTGATTTGTTACCTGCAACGAGTATCATGATACTGAAGGGACTAATATTGCTGTTTTAATGGGATGTTCGATCTAAAAGCCGCTACGCAACTTGTGTTTTCATCGTATTAATAGCTGTTCGTTGTAAACTAAATACTTTGTAATCTTAGTGCATTGTGGCATKATTTGGTCTACTCTATCTTTTCTCCAACTCCTTATTTGCAAAATCAAAGCTCTTTTTCTTGCCGGGGTCAATATTAAAATYATTCATTTATCATCTTCATTCCGACCGAAAACAACGTTTCTCTTTGATTTACATTCTCTCTTCAGCAAGCCACAATCACCATCATACATAATTGTTGCTTGTCGGTTGTAATTTCTCTCATCGTGAGGTTCTGTCGCAAATGTCGCTATTCTTCATTTGTCAAAGGGAAACGAATCTACCGGAAAAAACCCAAACAACATGGATCGGTCTGGGAGACTTGGGCAACGATTACGGAAAACCAGAGCACTTATCTTTAAACTAAACAAGATGTTGGATGATAATTTTGTAGTTCATTGATGGCAAAACATGCAATTATGAAATTTTGTAGAATTTCATATTCTCTCAGTTTCTACAAGCTCCGTCCGATCTATCTTATGTTACACTTTCTCTTCTAACTGGATCGACTTCCCGAATCGTCCATATAACACCTTTTTCAATGCTTCTTGCTCTTCCACTATGGTGGCTTCTTCCTCTTCCATTTTTTCCAAGACCTCTAACATGCGTTCTACTTCCGCTTCGCAATATTCGGTGGCATCTTCTTCGGATGTATCGAAGAACGATTCGCCGACCAGAAGCATGACATCGTCTCCATCGGACGACATCATCAGTTCCGTTGAGGCATCTTCGAGTCGATCAAGCGATTGCTAGCATCGATTTTTTTCATTCGAGTTTTCGCAGTCACCCAGCATGTGATCGAGTGCAATAGTAATAAATTGAAAAGTTGAAACGAGAGATCATCATCGAGAATCAGGCGAGGTAAAAAGAGAAACTCGAAATGAGCAAGCGCAATTTCCAATCGTAAATATTTACCAGTAGGCAGTGTTTCATAGCATTGCTGCTCCGGACGATTGCCTATCGTWCTCTCTGAATGCGCAGTAATGCCTCCATCATATTTCGTAAACTAAAGCGATCTCCTTTTTTGATGGCTCACCTTGATGATTTTTCGTTCGTCTCGAAGTTCACGTACTCTTGCGTTGAGACGCGCAAACTTATTGATGTTGTTTTGGTCCTCCCTTCTGACTTCCATGGTATTTTCTTCTTCTGCCGKTGTGACCATCATCTTGGAAATTTCGTCGTGAGTTATTGTCTGTATTAAAAATCAGAATATGAGATATGATGAATTAAATGAGGCTCTGTGGTCTCAGAATTACAAAGATGTATTGTGTCACTTTAATTGGGATTTCTTGTTGCTCTTTCTCTCGTCGATGTCTTGTGTTTGGTCCGAATGTATCGTTTGTAGAGGTTGTTGTTACTTGTTCTGAGTACCTTCTTGTATGGGAAAGACGTTCAAATCGACTGAAAATGATAAATACTGTATCGTTTTCGTGTCTTCCGTCTGCCGTCTCCGATGGTCATCATTCATCATGCACTTACGGTATGATGGATATTGCTTTATCATATGTAAAGTACGTAGGAATGCCGCGTACGGTAAGCAGTACAGTCCTGTACCTCGGTACCAGTATGAACGCAAATGTGTGGGTGACAGGTCCGGAATCAGTACAAATTGTACACGGCTCTACGGAGAGAACAATACACTTCATTTGCGTTCCCAACTTGAACCTGTCACACCTTCCAAAGAAAAACTATTTCTGTCGAAGGTTCCGAGCTGTTTTTTTTTCTCACTTTTTGAGAATTCGAATCCGTGAAATGAAATCGACATCCGGACACTGCTTAATAACATGGAATAAAATCGAAATCGAAATCAATTCCAAGAACAGATTTCTTGAATCTTTTTGTCCTCGTCTTCGGCCTTCGTTTTCAGTTGAAAATGCGGCGGGAGTGGAAAACCTGCAGCGGTGCTTCCTGCAATAAAAGTCACTTGCACACTACTCTTGATTAGAAGAGCGGTATCTTGTAGAGGAACAGCCCCCAATCAAAGAATGATTGCCGTCCAGCGTCAAACCACTTTCGTCTAGGTTYAAAATCCGATTTAGTTGACCCTCAAAAAAGACGAGCTCTCCTTCAACCTCACCGTCATTTGCCGTGTTTCTCTGGCCCATCCTCCAGAAATCAACCTACTCTTCAGTGTGTTGAACCATAAGTTGATATTGTTATAGGTAGTAGTCCACTTTGCTCTTCTATCTTCAACTTTAGACGAACTAGTAACAATTTTGACGTGAGGTGCGAACAAAATCGACATGCGTTCATAAAGTCGCGCATAATTTTTTAATACAGTTGGTCCTCCTTGAAGACAGGATGCTAACATCTGTGTCACTGTTTTCTGATTCGGTTGTTCTGTCATCTCAGCACAACCAAGGTTTATGTACGAGGAAATGGCATCAACCAGAGCGGCCTCCACCACTGCAGGCAAAGTGGCGGGACGTCCCGAATGCCAACATGGGGGAACATTTTCCAGCCCTAAACACAGACGTCGCYGAACCGTTTCTGCACTGAGTTCAACATTATAAAGCTTGTTGACTTGAGCAACCATAGCTGATACGTTTGTCACATTGCCCAGGGCACGTTCCTGTTTGATTTTTTTAGMAACGGAAAGGTAAGCGGTATTTTTTAGTTTATTTTCATTGTGCTTCTCAAGYTTCTCCGCATGAAGATACTGAGCCGTCCTAGGAGGCTTACGCTTCTTCTTTGCGGAACCATTGGTGTGATCAGAACCATCGCCAACAGTACTGGTTGCATTCGTGTTGTCACCATCTTTATCACCGTCCTTGCTATTACTGCTGGAACTCCTGGAGGTACCAGCAGGGGGAGCAGCACAGGTACTGACCCCAACACTTCMAGTGAGGCCAGATAGGGGGTCTGGTGGTAAAGCATATTCAATGGTTGATAAGGGGACACCAGCAACTGCTTTTTCAAGCTCCAGCTTATCCCTGTACCTCATAACTCTTCTGCGAAGAGCTTTGCTTTCACATTCTGATTCACTTGCACTAGTACCCCCACCAATGAACCCCATCCTCTCCAATGTCCTTGCCATYGATTYGCGTARTGCTAGTGCTGGTGYGGCDGATTCCTGTAGCGTTCCTTCCCTTCCTTCCCCTCCAGGGGCCTGCTTGGTGTTGTTATTGCTCATTTCAGAGCCAAAAAACACTCAAAATACAGCAAAAACTGCTTTTTCTTTCAAAATAACCGGTCGATTGCAACGATACTTCGTGATCAAGTCTCCTTTGATGTATTAAGGACGTCCGACACACTGGTTGTGTGTTTTATCRATGGGAAGATGGTTTCTTTTTATTTACACTGGGGAGTTCGTCGTTGCTGTTTTTCGATGATATTTCCAYTGTAGCTTTGGTATCCTGTYGCTCCTAAACCACTCGGTCGATCGATCCGCTACTTCCGTATCCCCTTCCCCTTGTTATAATGAAGTTATTCCAGTGGGTGTGTGGACAGGAGAGTGTTGTTGGTGCTCAGTCTAATGGGGGTGACAGGTCCTATGTTGAGGTGGATTAAATGAGAGTTTTTTGGAAATTTCGGTGCGGAGAGAAATCAACAAGCCCGAATAGGTTTTCGAAAGCAAACACCCTGCAATGTGCACATCGTTGGAAAGAGGAAAGAAAGCCCTTTCCGACTGACAGATTCTCTAAATCTGATTGGTGCTTTGGTAGCACTAACAAGCAAGCAAAGTTAAGAGCTCACAGCTAAAAACTGGCGCGTCTTATTGTACTCATAACTTATTACGGATTTTGTCCACACATTTGCGTTCATACTGGTACTCTAGATACGTACATACTAGTTCCAGTACGAGTACGGAAACGAGCTACAACTATTTCATTGTCTACTCGTACGTACGTACTATTCTTACTCGTGTTCCTGCAGTATCTACCGTACTGCAAAAAATTAGGGTGCAATAGTACACGTAGTACGAGTACTGTACATTGAGTACGAGTACGAACCGGTACTACGAGTAATAGACGTAGCGGCACTTCTACTTTCAAAGAACAAAAAATTCTTGTCAAAACGACAACCCTTATGTGGTACATCTACTACGTACGAAGTGGCGCTTATCAGTCCAACKGCATCTATGCTATGAGTACGGTACGTACGAGTACTACCGTTGTGCTGCATTGTTCTGGGGAGGTACAGACCATCATTCAATTCTGAAGAGTCACGTGAACCCGCGAACCCCAAAAAGTAAGGGGGGAATTTTGACTCTCATCAGGGACAACAAAGACGCGAACGACAGAAAAGGTTCTCGACCTGTCTCTCGCTCTGCGCCCCGCCATCTCTCATTCAAAAGTGTCGTATCRGTATTATTACATGCCCATCGTCGTATTGATTCTTTCCGACACTCCATCGGACCGAAGAGAAGTCATCTTTCTTCCCAATTCAACAAAAGAATCAATTGAGATCTGATTGATATACCTCCGCCTTGCGGAAAGGTAAGAACAATCCTGCCGCTTTATGTTCCTCGATCTCGGTTTCTGCGCCCATCTCGTTCGTTCGCAGACATCGAGATCTCTGGCCTCGTTTCTTTTCTCCCGCGGGTCGCAACGGGATCTTCTTTTCAGGAGACCTCCGCCTCCATATTTATGATCGACTTCCGGAAAGATGTGTTTAGCGTCGATGTTTTCAACTCCTCTTTCGCTTGCTACGGGCATGGACAGCGGCAACACGATGCGTCGTTGCATGCTCTCAGACAGCATTTACAACTTTTAGTGTACTTCACTACTTTTTCACGTTCAAGCGCTGATTGCCCATCCCGGGACTCATTCGTTAATTCGTGATTGAACCGACCAATAAAATCAAATCACGAGCCAGTCCGACGTGTTGGCTTGTGTCATTCAACCAATGTTTTTCCAATTTTGGTCGTCCAACGAAAATCACACACATTCATCGGCGCGACATTTTCCGCACGCTTTCTTCGCGTTTTGACTTCAACAAATAATAACAGCAATAATTTTTGAAGTGTTTCGCGTGGTGGACTGTTTGTTTCGTACGAGAAAGAGTGCCATGTACAAATCGTACTTGCACTCGTACCAGGAACTGTYGCAGGTTCTTTTTCGGTGTTTGATGTCCCCTCAATGCTATTCTACGTCGTACAGTAAAACAAAGATTACCGACACCGACAAAACTCATCGACCCTTGCAAACATCTTCGCTTACCCTCACTTCGCATTTCTCACATCGTTCCATTCTATGCAACTTGGCCGATGCATTGCTTTCGACGTCGACATTTTGCAGTGAAGATAGATACCAGTTGCTGACTMGAGGATGTTGCCTCCGTCTCTCAGCAACAAGCTTCCTTCCAACGGTGGTCCCATCAACAATGAGATACAAGAGGGATCGGTGGGGTCTAATGATGGACCTGTAGATGGATCGTCTACAGGAGGCACCGCTCCCGGAACCTCCGGAATGGCTGTGACAAATTCTACAAGCATTAATGCRAACGCTGGTGGAGACGGTGATGTGGTCATGTCGGATGCCCAAAGTTCGAAACCCATTGGTGCCACCAGCAACGGCAGTGACTCGAACGGGGCCAAGAAGGAACAGCCGGAAAAACCACCGCAAACTCAGGATGATCCATCGGCTGACTCACAGATGAAGGATGTTACCAAGGAAATGGCGGTAGATCCTCCCGTGATCAAGACTATTGTGAATGCAGCGAAGCAAGAAAATGGAAATGCTGGATATCCCCCCGCCGCTGGCGCTGGTTTTACGATGCCGCTTTCTGCATTGCCTTCGGATGCTAGCAAGGAAGCACAATCGGCGACAAACCCAGCAGCTGCCATGGACAGCCTTCGGGCGGAGTCGAAGGACGCCAAAGTCCCCCCACCTCTTGCTGCGGTCACCGCTATCGAAGAGAAAAAACCGTCACCCGTTTTGGCTCAACAACTTCAACCTCCCACACCCGCTTATGCAAGCGCTGCCGCTCAGTTCCTCGGTGTGAGCTCGGCAGCATCTCTCACCGCAGGTGCCTCTATTCCAACGATGGTCGAGCCMGATGGAACCGAGAAAAAGAAAGCAACGCCCGTTACGACAGCTCCGCCTTTACAAGGGCCGGTTTTGCAACTGGGTGCAAGGCCAGGAGCTATTCAACCATTATCGGGTGCGGTTAAGGAAAATCCTTCTACTGATGCGTCTGATCTGGCAAGACGCGATCGGGAGGCCGCTGCAAGATTTGGCTATACTTCCATGAGAGCCGCCGCCCAGGCTCAAGGATATAAAGTGCTCCCACTCCCGGACCCGAATAGCAAGAGCGCCGAAACGAACGCAGCTGAAAAGCCTTCGACTGATCCGTCTGATGTGGCAAGACGCGATCGGGAGGCTGCTGCAAGATTTGGCTATACTTCCATGAGAGCCGCCGCCCAGGCGCAAGGATATAAAGTGCTCCCACTCCCGGAACCGAATAGCAAGAGCGCCGAAACGAACGCAGCTGGGTTGCCCACAACGGAGGGTCTTGTATCCACGCAGCAGAGTGCCAAGCTCGTCCAAGCCACTCAACAGCAGCCACGACTTTCAACAATTATCGCCAACAAATTCAAACAGATGGGCAAGTCGCCTCCTTCGAATATGACGGGCGAAGCTGCCGGCGGTTGGTCAATGCCTGGTGGTAGGGTCTACAAGCATGGAATAGGAATGGCGACAGTCAGCCACGCTCCGCCACCGCGACCGCCACCTGCGCCTGGTATGAGAGAACTTCGTGTTGAAGACGCCTTGCTTTATCTCGATGATGTGAAACGGGAATTTGGTGGTCGTCCTCGTGTTTACAATGAATTCCTTGCCATCATGAAAAATTTCAAGAGCCAAGAGGTTGATACCCCTGGTGTGATCGACCGAGTTTCGAAACTCTTCCGCGGAAACAATCATTTGATTTTGGGATTCAATAAATTTTTGCCGGACGGCTACAAAATCAGCATGGAAGATTTGCAACAGATGGATGCCGCTTATGAACGAGAGCAAGAGATGATACGACAGCAAGATGCTTCCACAACCGAAAAGAAACAGCAGCAGGTAGCGCACTTAGGAAAGGTTCAGATGCCTATTCAACAACAGAAAAYAGCAATTGAACAACAGCGTCAAATGCAACAGAAAAAACCAATGCCAGCGACCCATGTTGCTGTGCGCCCTCCACCTCCACAAATGTCAATGCAGCAAAAACAGAAGCAGCAAACAAAGGTTCAAGATGCACTGCATGCAGAACAGGCAGCACGGCAACGAATGAAAATTGCGTCAGATCTGAAAGAAAAACAACGTCAGCAACAATCTGTCCCCAAACAACCCAAAGGCAAAACTGGAAAGCTTTCCAAAAAGCAGCAGCAGCAGCAACAGGCTATTGCACAGCAGCAGCCGCCACCACAACAGCCGCAACAAATGCAACATCAAGCCGTGGAATTTGATCACGCAATTTCATACGTGACAACCATTAAGCGCCGCTTTGCAAACGACGAAAATACTTACCGTCAATTTCTGGAAATTCTTCACACGTACCAAAAGGAACAACGTGGAATCAAGGAAGTCTTGGAACAAGTTGCACATCTGTTTCAGGATCATCCAGATCTTCTGAAAGAATTTACATTCTTCCTCCCCGATGCTGTCCAGGAGCAAGCGAAAGAACGACTGCATCGTGCCGCGGCCGAATCGGAGAGCCGTCTTTCTGCACAAAACAATATCAAGTCTGCAGAAACAGGTTCTTCGAAGGAAGTAGTCGATATGACAAATCACAACAGGGCTATGATAGGTGATCAGAGCAAAGTGACCGGGCAGAAGAGGTACAAGGAGACGCAGCAAACCCCAATGTTGGTCACATACCCTCAGTCACCGGAGACTTTTGTGTATAACTCGGCAGTAGAACGTCAATTCTTCGACGGAGTAAAAGATAGCCTCACTGCGTCCACTCGTGATGGTGGACAGGCATGGGCAGAATTCATGAAATGTCTGGACATGTACGCACAAGAAATTCTTTCGCAGAGTGAAATGCTCAATTTTGTTGAGCCACTCCTTGGTAAGGCAAACAAGTATCGCTTCAAAGAATTTAAACGAATTTTGGCTGCAGCTGGGGGACAAGGAGGTAGTACAGTTTCTTCGATGGAAGACTCTTGGTACTCGGTCCCTCTATCAGAGATTGATTTCAGTCGATGTCGTAAATGCTCTCCTTCGTATCGTGCATTACCGAGGGATTATCCTGCACCTCCATGTAGCCAACGGAGTGACGAAGAGGCTAAGGTGTTGAACAATATCTGGGTATCTCTTCCCGTTGGAAACGAAGAGACCTTTCGTCACATGAGAAGGAATACTCACGAAGAAGCTCTATTTCGTATCGAAGACGAACGGTTCGAGATTGATATGACAATCGATAGCAATCTTTGCACTCTCGCTCTTCTAGAGCCGTTCGCACAGGAAATGGCACAACTATCTGCAGAAGACTCGAAGATGCAACCCGGTAAGGAAAGTGACTCCAGGAGAAGCACTGAACGAAAGGGACTCGGTGGTAAGCGCTTTCGATACACCTTTGACCCAAACATTCTTGGTGTCATTCACCGAAACTCAATCACTCGTATCTATGGTGACAATGGTCAAGAAATGATTGAGTTGCTAAAAACGAACCCTTCAGTTGCTATTCCTATTGTAGTAAGTCGTTTGAGACAAAAGGACGCTGAATGGAAAGCCGTCAGAGATCGTCTCAATCGTCACTGGAGAGACTTGGCACAAGCCAGCTATTACAAGAGTCTTGATCATCGTGGTCTTACGTGGAGAACGACAGATAAGAAAGCAATTAGTAATCGAACGCTTCTAGCCGATATTAAAGACAGAGCAGCTAACAATGGGAATGAAAGTGAATCAGCGTACGAAGCTCGCCTCCAGAAGGCAAAGGAGGAACACGGGTCATTCTTCTTGACAACAATGGGTAATGATTTCAAGAGAATTGTGGATCTTTCGAAGCTTCCAAAGCCAGATCGAAAACTCTTTACACCAGATATGAGTTTGATGTACGAGAATAGCAGTTGCATCCAGAAAGATGTTTACCGAATATTGTCTTTTGCATTGGAGAGGGGATCGATCTCCCCTACTGACAAAGAAAGGTGTCACCGCCTTTGGACTGAATTTCTCGGCCCATGGTTCAACTTGAAACTAAATTGGATGTTGGAACCAGCAGTTTCTTTTCAAGAAACATCGTCGTCGACCACGAGGCTTCCTCGTGTTGTGAGCAAAGACGACAATAGTCATGATGACGAAAGCGCTGAAGAGGACGGTGAAATCGACTCTAGAATTGTGACTGAAGAGCTCCGAGATGACGGAAGCAACGATAAGGACGATACCCCTTTGACCGTGGACCATCATCCTCTTCCTGCTGGCACAACCGTTTCCACAATTTACGGGGATGGACGCATAATTTCTTGCCGCAAGCAGGACAGCATGTACATCGTAAAACTGGCTTTTGGCACTGCCTTTGTGCGACCAAGTGCTGTTCTTGTCTCTGTTCTCGAAGCCGAGAAGTCCGCATACACAACGCATCGGATGGTTGATGACCACACAAWATTGGATCGGTCAGATGACAAGCTCGTCATTGGAACGCAGAGTTTGTATTTGTTCTTCCGCTTGCATCAACTTCTTTGCCGTCGTATTGGCATTGCCAGGAGACTTGCTTACGWAGTAAAGGACGACCCTTCATTGCAAACCTTGGTGGAACAAATGCCCGATCATCACGGTGCATCTGCGGGAAAAAGACGTTACGATGCATTTTTGTCGTTGGTGTATGCATTGCTGGATKGTGGGACCGGGAGTTCGGAAGGGGCTAAATTTGAAGATCGTGTGCGAACATTGCTGGGACACTGGGGGTACGAACTTGCCACTCTAGACAAGTTGATTTCTCACATTCTAAAGAATATCCAGAACATGGCAAACGACGATACCATGTGGAGCCTGGTGCAGCTCTTCCGTCGTCACATTGATGCAGGAGGATTCAAACCCGAAGCCCTCCGACAAGAAGCAGCATACCTATCAGATGGGGAACCCATGTATGCATTTCAATACTGCCCGATCCAAAAAGACAGAGGGGAAAAAGCTGTCTTGTATGTGGAGAGTTTGGGCGTAATTGTTGGTTCCGAAGAAGAGGATTCACTATCGGATCGGGCTCTTGAACCTAGTTCCAAGAGACAGAGGCGATAGAATCGAGAATGTACGTGTAAAAATAACAATAGGAATAATTGAATGTTTTAGCAGAGGAAAATAAATGCATCGTGACTGTAGTCATAGTGGATGTCCATGGAATGAATAGAGTATTTCATAACTTTTTTTCTATGTTTTCATTTGAATAAGTACTTGAACTTCGTTTATTCAAACCGCAAGAAACGTCAGGTGCTCGAACCCAAGAACGAGTTTCTCGTTTAGTTGAGACCCAGYTTGGACTGCAGCGAGCCGTCCTTATGGGCGGCCTGTGTTTCGGAGTTTCCACCCAGAAAGGTTCCTCCGATCCACACAGATGGCACCGTTCGCTGACCACTCATGGCCAAGAGTTCTGCTTGGATGGCTGGACCGTCACCCATCTTGTCGAGTTCGTGTACAACGGGATTGAGTGCTTTGTATTCGGGCTGAGCGAAGAGCTGTTTCGTTTTCGTGCAGTAGGGGCAGTAGGACTTGCTGAAGACCACGATCTTGTTTGCGCTGATTTGTCCGTTGATAAAATCTTTCATGTTTGCCGACGACGATGATGTTGCTGATGACTGCGATGATCCCATTATTATTAAACTACCTGAAATGATGTAGAAGAAGACAAAAGGCCTCTTCTTGAAATGATTGTGAGATCATTTGGTTCGTGCTTAACAGTGCATTACTCACATCTACGGTACATACCGTGATAACGGTACGAACCAGGAAAAATACCGTTGGACAGGATGATTCAAAAAGACGTCAGCGAATCTGTACATAATTCGGAATTTCTACGGAGCTGCTACGAGTACCAGGTACTCCTACGGAAASACTGATAAAAAATGAAAAATAATGATCATGCCGATGACTTATTCTTTACGTTGACATACGGTAAGTACCGTACGGCAAKTACGAGGTTGTGGTTCTACCGTGTTGATTTTCTAAATGATTATGAGTCATAATTTTGCAAGCTGTTTTTACTTAACAAGCACAACTGTAATCAGCAGCAAGAAGCTTTGCTTGCTTGCTGCGGCTACCAAAGCACTAATCAGAGTCTGAAAATCTGTTAGTTTGATATAGTTTTCTTTCTTCTTTCTGTACAGAAAGGTGCATGTTAATTGAGTACTTTTGACTGCGCTGAGATAGGAATTACGTCCTCCTCCTCCTCTATCCCCAAAAGACTGTAGTAGTACTACTCCAGCACTACACACATTGTTCTTTACTAGTACTAGTAGTGAAATAAGCTCAATATTTGGGTGATTGGAATGGATCTTTTTTATTTTATTGCTCTTAAGAAATACTAATTGAATATTCTCTGCCTTTCAACAACAATGTTGTGCAGTGTCAGCACAAGAAATAAAGTTATAGGCATTCAAACAGAGCTATTTTTGGCATACTAGTAGTATGAATGTGTTTTTACCATCATTTGGTGGCTTCTGGTAGAAGTCATTTTGACATGCCACCAATAGTACTTGTGCACAATGGCAAAGAGTAGACAATTTATGAGGCCATCATACTTCTTCTCTTCTTTATACAAGACAGCATTCTTTTATTGTTGGTCATGCTTGTCCAACAAAAGAGCAGCAGGTGGTGCACTGCCGGGCGGTAGTACCACCATTGCCAACATTTTGTTTTGCTTTTTGCTTCTTCTTGTTGTAGTAGTAAAAACGCTATCATAGGATACTACTAGTAGTACTAGTACTAGTGGTGGTGTAGTACTAGTAGTAGGAGTAGTAACTTCATATGAATAAATAATCAATGAGCATGCACACATGCTCATTTTTATCTTTAATACTGATTCTACCTGTTGTACACAGCCATATTTTATTGGGGGCTTGATAAATTATTTGATGAGTGTTACGTAAACAGGGGACAGTCTTTGTGTGGACAGCAAAAAAGGTCACAGGGTAGTCTTTTTTGGACGAGTACTAAGATAGGCCTATTTTTTAAATTGAAAAAATATCATCCCGATGTGAATTTGTAAATTTGTTAATCCAACGTCTCTTTTTTGTTCGAAAAACTCGAAGACCGGAAACAGTGGATCTCTGCGTGATGGTCGGTCATCCGTAAATAAATAAATGACACTACGAGTACGAGTCTCGTTGTCTACCACAGTACTACGTACGGTACCATACGATACCTTACAACGAGGTACAGTAGAAACTACGGTACGACGGAGTCGATTTCCGCTCTCACCCAAACAAATCCAATCGGGATTGTCCCAGGGGCGACCGGCACCGGCGACAGCACAGCACAGCACAGCACAGCACAGAACAGCACAGAACAGCACCACACCACAACGCAATACCGCAGAATCACGAACAGCTGCATTCGAACTCTCTTAGCGATTGATCGAGGTGAACAAGATGGCGACGGGGGGCATCAATCTCTCGAAGGAGTTCTTCGAACTTCTCAAGGCGGTCGGCGAGTCGAAATCGAAACAGGAGGAGGATCGCATCATGGCCAAGGAAGTAATGTGCCTGAAAAAGAAGCTCTCCCCCGTTCCAGCGGGAGCTAGCAACCCGCTCCAGAGCAAGAAAAAATCCAGGGAATTCCTGGTCCGCTTGCTGTACGTGGAAATGCTGGGGCACGACGCCTCCTTTGGGTACATCAAGGCGGTGGAAATGGCCGCGTCGGCGTCTCTCTACCACAAGCGGACGGGATACCTGGTGTGCAGCGCGTGCCTGAGCCCGGACCACGAGTTCCGATTCATGCTGGTCAACCAGATGCAGCGGGACATGCAATCGGCGAACGTGCTGGAAATCTGCGGCGGTTTGCTGGCTGCCACGTCCCTGATTACCTCGGACATGGTCCCCGCCATGTCKGGAGAGGTGACCAAGCTGATTTCCCACGACAGCGAAACCGTCCGGAAAAAGGCCATCATCACCCTGCACCGGCTCTTCCAGCTGGCCCCGGACGTGGTGTCTTCCGAAGAACTCCTGGAGAAGGCCAAGAAGGTTCTGTGCGACCGCGATCCCGCYGTAATGGGAAGCTGTCTCAACGTCATCGAGGACATGGCCAAGCGCAATCCCGTGGACATCAAGCCCCTCATTCCCTCGCTGGTCAGCATTCTCAAGCAAATCTCCGAGCGACGGCTCCCGGACGAGTTCAACTACCACCGCGTACCGGCCCCCTGGATGCAAATCCGGGTCGTTCGCATCCTCTGCTTGCTCGGACAGGCCGATGCCGAGGCCAGCAGCGGCATGTACGAGGTTCTMAACGAAACGATGAAGCACGCCGACATTGGCATCAACGCCGGGTACGCAATCGTCTACGAATGCATCAAGTGCATCACTAAGATATACCCCAACCCAAAGCTACTGGATGCGGCGGGTGACGCCATTGCGAGGTTCATCGAGTCTCGGTCGAACAATCTCAGGTATCTRGGAGTGACCGGGTTGGCGATGATCGTCGAAACGCACCCCCAGTACGCCGCCCAGCACCAAATGTCCGTGATGGACTGCCTGGAAGAYCCGGACGAGACGCTCCAGCGAAAAACGCTCGATCTGCTCTATCGAATGACCAATCCTGTCAACGTTGAATTCATCACCGACAAGCTCTTGGTCTTTTTGGATGGGACCACCGACCTCTTCCTGAAACAGCAGCTCACGACACGCATTTGCAGCGTCGCGGAACGATACGCTCCCAGCAATGCGTGGTACATTACCACCATCACTCATCTCTTCGAGGTGTCCGGTGACATGGTCGATCAACAGGTCGCCCAGAACCTCATGAGCCTGATTGCCGAGGGAACGGGGGAGTCGGAAGAGGCCGACATGATGCTGCGCCAAACCGCCATCGAGCTCTACGTCAACCTGCTGCAAGACAAACCCCCCGCCAAGCTTCCTAGAATATTGCTGGAAACGATGGCCTGGTGCTTGGGTGAATACGCCTACCTGAGCGCGGCGGTGTCTCTGGAAGAAATCCTCACCAAGTTGTGCCAGTGGAACAAGTCCATCTTGCATCCGTCCACGAGACGATTCCTGACGTCTGCCATCTTCAAACTGGTGGCCCAGCTGGGAACCTGCCCGCCCCAGGCAGCGGTGGTCGTGGACGAATACACGCGCAGCAAGGACCTCGATTTGCAGCAACGGTGTCTGGAGTTCCAGTCCTTGTTGATGAACGCTCCGCAGTACCTGGGAGAAATTCTTCCGGTGGATGCTTCTGCCGAAGACATGGAGGTGGATCCCAACCTGAGCTTCCTGGACGGCTACTGCCAGCAGGCCCTCGCAAACGGCGCGCGTCCGTACGAAAAGCCCGAAGACGACGACGACGACGACTACGATTACGGTACGTCTGGTTCCGGAAGCGGAGCCAGTGCCTTCAACATGACTCCCTATGCCAAACCGGAAACCAACGTCAGTCGGTCCACCATGATGGCCCGAGGAGTCGGCGGTGGTCCGCAGGGGGCTATAGCAAGTCCCGCCGGAGTTGCTCTGCCTCCTGGAAGCTCTTCGGGAAGCCAGGCACAGGTTTCGACCAACCTAGACGTCGTTGGTGACGGCTTGAGCTTGAACACCCGAGGTGCCGCCAACGTGTGGGGAAAGAAACCCGCAGCACCCCCCGCCCCGGCCGCACCCGCTCCAGCTGCCCCAGCGGCCGTGGCGGATCCCACCCCGAGCCAACCTGCCAACACGTTTGGAAGTGGGCACACCGCGTATGGCGGGATGGGAGGATTCGGACAAACGTCCGCTCCGGCACCGGTTGTTCCAGAAAAGACCCCGGAACAGCTCGAGAAGGAACGCCAAGCGGCAGCGCTGTTTGGTGGCATGATCCCGGGACAACCCCCACCGCCGCCACGAGCTGCTGCTCCGCCACCACCAAGGGCCGTGCCTGCTTCGGCACCGCCCGTCGCAGCAMCCCCCGTTGCAGCGGCACCCCCCGTCGCTGCCGCGCCGCCACCGGCRGAAGCACCCATTTTCGACCTGCTCGACTTTGGGGCTCCCGCACCGGCTGCCCCTGCACCGGCTGCCCCCGCGGGTGACCTGGTGGACATTTTTGGTYMCGCGACGCTCGAACCCACCCCGATGGCACCCCCTCCCGCAGCACCTCCCGCTCCCGCACCGATTGTGGAGACCGTCAGCGAGGAGGAACCGGAACCCGCCGCACCCCCTCCTGCTCCCGCTCCCGTAGATCCATTCGCGGCCGAGGGACTCTTGGGAGACCTACAAACGCCTACACTGCAAGGGTTTGGTGCTTCCACTTCCAAATTCGAGTTCAATGGTGCGCCCATGGCACCCCTGAAGATCACAACCCCCCAGTTTGGACAAAACTGGGGCAGTTGCCCGGCAACGTCCCCGATCGCCCTGACCTCTCGAAAGGTGGTTTCCCTAGATCAGTTCATGAAGGAATGCGAAAGCTCCGGGCTGCACCCCATCGAGGCAATTGGTGCCACGAACGAGGGCATCTGCGGAGGGATGTTCGACGGTGGGTCCAAGATYGTCTTGGTGCACGGCAAGGTTTCGCCGCTCCCCAGCGGCGAAAGCAGCCTGGCCATCACGGTCAAGTCCGGGGACGCAACCCTGTCGGGATCGCTGGCGCTCTATCTGCAAAACATGATGAAGTAATAGTAATGAAGAAGGACAACGGATCCGCTTTCTTCGATGGAACGAAAGAAATGGATTGGGAAGGAAGGCACACCCAGTTTCAAAATCGATTCACGTAATCAAAAGCACATTATTATTACTGTATTCTACCAACTACGTACTTAACTAAGAATATCATTATTGTCATTAATCGCTACTATCTCACATAATGAGAGCATTTTCTAAAGACCTGTACGTTACCGTATGCCGAAGTAGATARGCATTGTTGAGGCCCAGCCGCCGCGTAGGAAGATCTGTCTGCAAAAAGCAAACTACTGTTTGTACTGTACTATTGTTCGTACTCTAGACTCCAGCATTTCTAGTTCTAATTTCAAGGTAAGTTCTTCGTAATTCGTACTTCTACTTGGTATTGCGGGTAGGTAGGTTGGTACGGTAGGTACGTACGTTACGTGATCAAAGATCGCATATCGCACACCGGTACGAGTACGAGTACGAGTACGAGTACGTACGCTACTAACTAGCGCATACACATTCAGCATCAAGGAATTGAAATAGGATTCGCTGTTTCACTTCGTATCCTATTTTCGACGGTCGTGCCATATTCCCACACCCCGCGACAAACATACAGGAATCATTGAACCGACCCACGGTCTCAAAAGAAAACCACTCCGTTCACCCGTCGAAGACACTACTATGGTTCGAGCGGCGAACGAAAAGTCGGCGGGCTTCTACTTCGTGCTCTTCCTGTGCTTTTTGCTGGGTGCTGTCTGTATCTACCACGACCTCGGCGTGATCGCGTTCGTCCTGGCGGTCTTTGTCGGGATCTTTGGCTTTGGGCTGCGGGAAAAGTTCTCAAATGAGACCACGGCGAGCGCCTACAGCGTTTTCAACGAGGACGGGAGGGCCATCGTCGGGGGSTTCACGTCGAGCCAGTTCGAACGCCAGCTCCGCGGATCGGTGGCGAGCCAAATGGCGTCCGGCGCAGGCGGAAACCCGGACGCAAGCGCCGCATCCGGACCGATCGCGAGAGCCCGAACGGAGGGGCCGGCGAGGAGGACAAACGTCGCTCTCTCGGATGCAGAACGAACAGCGAGACGAAGGGCCGCGGCCGAGGCAGCAGAGCGACGATTCCAAGCCGCGAAAGAAGAATAGAATGAAATGGAATGGAACCAAACTAGACCAAACCAAACCAAACCGAAGATTAAATTCGCACGGAATATCTTGGTTTTGTTGTTCTTGGAAACCATGGTCACTTTCATGGAATTTCCGAGTGATCGTCTGAGACCCTTCTCTGCGTGAGCGATAATATTGGGATGCTATGCTATGCAATACCAGGTGCCTTGCCTTCTCCCTGCTGTCAAGACACGATTTACCCATGCCGAGATCGAAAACAAGGCTTTAGCTCCTCTTTCATCAAACCAAAAGCAGACAGAACTTGATTGCGATCTCAAGTCAATGTACTATCAAGTTTCATATGGCTGCAGCGACATATAATTGACTCTCTCGGTGCTAAAACAATCTAAACGCCTTTCTTGTTTGATTGATTGCTGTTGTTGAATCATTACTGGCTATCGTAATGTAGGTTTCTGCGTTATTAAGCATTAATATTTTTGGTACAGGTATAMGGGTGTACATTCTTTTTTAGGGCTCTTTACAACTTGGAATTCTYTTACCCTGCATTGCATCATTTGGCTGCTCCATGAAGAAACAAGGAAGAGTTAAAGGTCCTTGGACGTCGGCTGGAGAGAACCCCATGTTGGTTTTCGCTTGGTCAAAAAAGCATCGATTCCTTCCCTGGCTTCCTCGTCGTGGTTCATGCAGTCGGCCATGGCATCCGATGCTAGCCGGTAAGCGGCGTCCAACGGCAGTTCGAGCTGCTCGTAAAACAGCGCCTTTCCCGTTGCCATTGCCCTCGGTGATTTGGAGGCGATCCTGGAGGCTATTTCGATGACCGTCTTTTCGAGGTTTTCGTCGTTGTCAATGACAGCGTTGACAAGGCCGATCCGCTCGGCCTCCTCCGCCGAGATTGCGTCCCCCGTAAGCAGCATCTGCATCGCGTGTTTGCGGTGAATGCTCCGACCGAGGGCCACAGCGGGGGTCGAGCAAAACAAGCCGAGGTCGACGCCCGGTGTGGCAAAGGTTGCGGAGGAAGAGGCGTACGCTAGATCACACGAGGCGACCAGCTGGCAGCCGGCAGCGGTGGCCACCCCATTGACCTGCGCAATGACGGGTTTGTCGAGACGGACAATGGTCTGCATAACGGAGGCGCACAGTTCCATCAGGGAAGCATTTTTGTTGTTTTCGTTCTTTAAATTGTTTGCAGCATTGGCTCGAATCTCCTTCAAGTCGTGTCCGGAACTGAACACCGGACCACTCGCATTGAGAATGATCACGCGGATTTCCGGGTCGGCGTCTATGACACCCAGGGTCTCTTGGATCTGTTGCAACATTGCGCGAGAAAGAGCGTTCCTGTTTTTGGTATTGTTCAGCGTTACCCTCGCGATTGCCTCTTGGATCCTTGTCGTTTTCACGAGGGACGAGACAACGGCAGCAGCGGCTACCATACTGTGCTGTGCTAAGTTGTGCTATAGCTGATGGTATAGTGTGTTATTCTTTTTTCGGCGCATTCAAGAACATTCTCGGTCGAATCGGTTGATGGATGTTCGTTCTTCCCTTCTCTCGCAACTTGCAACCTCCTGTATCCAAACAATCCAGGCAATGAAATAGCGTTTGGTTCGTTTGAGTCGAGTAGAGGCAGGTATCTATCCAGGCCTGCTGCAACGATACAACACTGACAAAGACAGCTTGTTTGTGCTTGTTCACACGACGAAACGAAAACGGTGTCGACGCTTTCACCCGCGTAGCGACGAAAGCAGCCTTTCACTTCTAGTCGAACAGCATCGAACAGAACAGAACAAAACAGAACAGAATATTGTGGAATCTGTCTGTCGATCGATCCATCAATTCACTTGTGTGGCAATACACTTTCATTCACTCGTAAGCATCAATACAAAGCATCGGTATCTGGTATGCAGTCTCCGTCCCGTAACACTCCATCCAAGCAGCGTTCCGTCCGGTGAATACTAATCGATCTCAAAACAAGTCTGCCCCCACCCCTAGTTGTTACGGTTCATACCGTAGGCATGATACGATACACGATGTGCCGCAGTTTTACACCAGAGAGGTTTGGCGATGGGCTCGTTCATGGCTTCATTCGTGGATTTTCTCGTCGACCGTTGGGTTCAATCGTGAACAACAAAAACCTCATACCCGCTACTGTTACGGCCGAACACCTTGTGAACGAGAGAGTGCGGTGGAAGGAGTCGTACTATGCAGTAGACGCCGTTGCCAAGATCAACGGGGCTATTGTTGTTTGGTGGCGGGCCACCGGCAAGATTTTCTTTGGGATCGGAACCCATCGTTATCTCTGTCATTGTTTGCTCTCTCATAACTTTGAAACCCACACTTAACGATCCAACGACAAGAAGTACTGGTACCAAATCCCTTGTCTCACAAAACCGCCGCCTATCTATCACTCCCACAAACAATCCATACATTTTCGAAATACATCCACTCATACACAACCACTAACTAACTACAGTAGCGTCGATCAACGGCTCTATTCTTTTACGCAACACTTTACAACACACCTTACACAAGAATAAATTTTCATAATCATGTTGATGCAGCAACAAGAACAGTATTGTTACCACGAAAAGACTTTCCTTCACATCTCCTCTGTTATGAGCGGCGGCACTAGGACCACACCGACGCTATCGTCGGCGTCCTCGTGGCATCCGATCCAATCCTCCCCCAGCGAGGATATGTGGGAGCTCCCCGCAAGCTCGAGCTCGATGTCGGAGGACCATCGGGACGACTTTCCTACGGCAAACTCGGGATATCAAGAATTCTCCGTGTACCACGATCACGAGGAGTACGGCATCGGTCGCAACCACGAAGACCAAAACGCAATTCCCCCAACGGCGACGATCCGAGCCATTTACCACGGTTACCACAACGATCCCTATCGTCGGTATTCTTCTTCTTCTTCTTCTTCGTCGTCGTCGTCATCCTCCGCAACTATCCGCAACGCAAACAGAAACAGCACCGGTCTGTCGAGGAAGAAATGCGTTCTGGGGGATGCCACCAACACCCTTCGAAGACGAAGCAACAGCGAAACCGACAGAAGACGCATGCAGAGGAGCTACCAATATAGGAACGCATGAAAAGAATTCACTAGATCGATCGATCGGTCCCAAATGCTACCCGTTATGACCCATGGCAACGAACCAACAGGGACTGCAGCAACCATTTTGCAGCACTATCAGGTACAAACCCRGTGCTGTCCAAAAAAAGAAGAGAGGCCACGCCAAGACTTTAGTCTTTACTGGATGCCCTTCTGGCTCACTTAMTTACTCCCTTAAACCGTGGGCACTACTATCCATCCTGTTGTATTCTTACAGTGGAAACGACCAACTCCTTTAATGGCTATTCTTCCGGTGCACCATCACTGCCTTCATGCCACAAACGAAGGAATCCCACACCATTCAATTATTCGAACTGTTTATTGGAATTAATATACCTGGTGATAAGAAAAAAGTTGCCTATTTCCTTGAATTACTGTGCATTTCGTATCGTATGCACGCTTGAAACTACATATATGCTACATACAAGAACCATAACTTTAGTGATTCATTCAGGAGACACGAGCAAATATCTAAATCACGGTGTGGTATTTGTATGAGTACGGAATGTGTTCATATGTTGCTAACAAAGAGAAAAAAAAGAAAAAGAAATGCGTACTGAAACAATTGCAGTGTTTTTCGCATTTCTCTAAAAAATAATGCGCCGACAAGTATCATCCAAAAGAAACTAGTACTTTTTCTTTCTTTCTCAAAGGAGTTACCTATTGTAGTAGTTGTAGCTTTTTACATCATCTCTCGGCCACGGCCCTTCTCCAACATGAGGGATGGATACTAGCTACTACCACTAATTTGATGGTAGGCTAATCCGCATTGGTTCGGCCCCCCCACTAGAATCAAACTGCCCCGGTTTCGCTTCGCCTTTCAAGAGTATATTCGTCTTAATGCCATACTTCTACCGTAAACAAGCACTGCCTTTAGGTCTACAGGTGCTATGATGCAAGGTATGCAACTCGTCCGGAGGTACGGTCTGTACTACCGTACAGTGCTGGGACCCCTGGCTGGGATTACGTACGAGGTATGAGCAYTAATATGCACACAGTACGTACGTAATAGTAATACAGTATGACTAGGACTCCGAATTACAGATCGTTTTTGTACCGGCCGGTACGTTAACCGTACGTATGATTTCGTATCGTACCATTGATACACTGCAGAACGCATTCTGTGTACGGTAGTACGGTACGAACAGTCTCTGTTGCTATCCCATACGAGTACGAGTTACTTCAAATATTTGTGATAAGAATTCAAAATCCAGAAGCAAAGACTGTATGAACCATGAAAGTGATAGAAGGAGCCTCTCGGGTGGCGTTTCTGGCATTCTTTCTGTCCCATATTCCTATCACCCTGTTCGTTGACGCGCAGGGACTCTTTGGTCCGCWTTACCCGAAGCTCCTGACCGACTTGATCGCATGGTACTGCGGCCTCTTTGGCGATGTTCTAATGAAAAACGCCCCGTCCGGTGAATACGCCTGGTTCTCGTCTCTGATCGGTTGTGAGATTTTGTTCCAGCTTCCCTTCTTCATTGTTGCGGCAAGGACGATCATGACGGCGGGMAAATGCAACGGAAGCAGCACCACCAACCCAAGCGACGGCGGATCCACGCCACAGGAGAGCTACCCGGAATGGTTTCGCATCGCATGCATCGTGTACGGTTCTCATGTCAGCACCACACTGGTTCCAATCCTTTCGTGTTTTGTATGGAGCGAGGAAATGACGACAGGCCAGAAGTGCGCCACCACCGCCAGTAAGTACCGGATTGAGAGCACGCGAGGGAGGCGTTGCAACTCGACGCTTTGCGGCGTTTGCTGGCTTCATCGGAACAAATGGTTGTGTTCCCTCACCATTGGTTTGCCCTTCCTTTCTTTGTCATCGCAGTATACTCCCCGTATTTAATTTTTCCGTTGTGGCTATTGTGGCTTGCTGTGAAAGAAACTTTCGTGGATGCAATGGATGAGAAAAGGTCGAGTGGAAAGAGGGACTAATGCATACCGTGCGTTAGTGCAAATCGGATCGAACTGTAGGATCATTTATTTAGGTTACTGGCTGCTAGACAATATGACACTGAACTCTGACAGAGAAGGTATGAAAAGTTGCGATTACAAAGCGACTCCCCGTACCGAATTTTTGACGCGAGAGGGAAGCAAGACGAACGCATGGTGTAGGACCTTTCATGTTGTTCGTAATGTAAATACTTCCAGAAATGAAATCCAATTATTGTCAAATGATACTTTCCATTTCTCGAAGGGCCCAATAGCGAAACAAACAAAAAATTCTGATTCGATCCCAATGTCCGACAAATCATTCTGAAGCAATTGAGCTAAGCAATGCACCAMGGTAAACACCTCATCGGTACGGCCATCCTTCTTTTTAGATGGATTTGAAGCCGAACGAAGTGTACAAAAATTCAAGAGTCAAAAGCTGTAGGGTGGCTTGTGGGGCGAAACGAGCCCATCTTTTAAGAGAGAAAAATAGATCGATAAAGATAAAACGTCAGTCGATTTCATAATGCAGTCAGTAGACCAATGTTTAACGATTTTTTTTCTCCTCCAGGCTTTCTCAGTGCTTGTACTCACATTGGGATGAATCCTCGCCACAACGAAGCAACGCCATCGTTCCTCACGGTCTTGACGGCACAATCGACAAAACCATTATAGATCTTCTTGTCCGTCGGCTGRCTCATGAGATTCGTACGAATTCGATCAAATGGAGACACGGTACACGTCATAAAAAATCCAGCGACGAAACTCGAGCAAAAGGATGTCCGAACATCTTTTCTGGCCCATCCCGTCGCGTCGGTGACGTACCCCTTCGTCAAATCATAGACCCCCATTTTGGTGGCATTCAAGACGCAGGCTCTCAAAATGTTGGCTTCGACCCCACGATAAAATCCAGCGACACCCTGGTCCTTGTACATAGCTCCAACCATGGTCGACAAAGGGGCACTCGCATCTTTGTTGGTCTGAGCCAGGGTCTATGAAAGTTCGAACACAAAAATGTTTTTCGTGAATTTTGTTTTTAATTTGTCGACAGATGAGACGCAAGTTTCGACTCGGACCAAACAAATGGATAATTTCAAAGACCCAGCGATCATTTCTCGTTCCCACTAGTGATTCGCTTGTGCCAAAAATTCGCAATTAAAATCAATTCGCTTTACGATGCTCTTCATTTGTGTACGAAATGCCACGACAAAAAGTTTTGATTTGATGTCTTACCTTCAAAACGTCGAAAGGATTTCCAACCACACTACCGACACCACCCGTGAGAGCTCCGGCAAAAAATTTCATGTAGAACGGAGCATCTCCTCCGGCACCCAAAAAATCTCTCACGGGAGCGTAGGCTAGAGGTTTTTGAGCGAAAAAAGATGACGAAAAGGAATTAGAAAGCTCGGTCGATCACATCGAAGTCGGTAGAATTTTTCGACCATTCACAGCTTCGATTTTCCGCGTCAATTGCAAATTCAAACCCGTTTTTTGAGAAGCGATTCTGTCCTACACATCCAGGACAACGCAGTGTYATATGTCACGCAGACTCGCCGACATTTTCTGGCATTGCAATGCTCTGCTGTTTGCTACTCACCGCCGAGTTTGATGCTCGTGTAAAAGATTTCTCTCCCCCAAGCAAATCCCAGCCCCTTCCAAAAGGCACCTATTCCTTCCTTCGTGTACAAGGAGGACGCCGTTTCACCAATCCCGAGCCCGGATACCTGCATGCGGGTTTTGACGGTCTCGATAGGATGCGTAAAGTTTACAGCAAAGCACGCACTGCACCCACCGAGGGCCATCGACTGAAAGAGGTTTGCTTTGGGCGGATCGACCGACATAGTGTTCTTCTTCTAAAGGATTTTGTGGATGTTTTTTCGGTGGTGTTTGATGACCGGACACGAATCAATCGTTCGCCCTTGTTTTCGGTTTTATCTGTGCTCTTTAAAAGTTATAAAACTATAAACGCACTCGTGCGTTACGAACTATGGTCATCGGTGGATTTGACGCTCAGAGGCGAACAACTGGAGTGRACCGAATCTAGCGTGCCGATTACATACCGTACCGTACTGCACTCGACAATATCCTTGATGAATGTTACACGTACTTTAACGGGAAGCTGGTGCCTGCTGTGTAAAGACGAACCATGCAAAGATCGGGGTGAAAAGAATTCACGAAAAAGTCGTGAACGATACCGTACGGTACGGTTGTCGCATGGTATCTTTACTTATGCTGACATGCGACGAATTCAGATTGTTCTGTTTTCAACGAAAGCGATTCTGTGACGTCACGTCGTTCGTGACAGGGATCGTAAAAATATGACCTCTGGTTCGTGACTGGTACTTTTCGTGACTGCTTCCTTTGACGTCGATCTGTAATCTGTATCCACTTGGAAAAAAAAAAATCTTAATATTATATTTAACCTCGTGAACTAGAAGAGGCACTAGGAAGGCCAGAACCATTGCTTTCGTGAGAAAGAATGCTTCTAGCTGATGGACACTAACAAACATGGCACAATGATAGAATCTTATCACAAGATCCGCGGAACATAATACATTACACTACATAATGCGCATCGCTCTAGTCGCAATTCGGGGGTCTGAAAGTGCTACAATGCTACAAGTAGTACCCTGACAAGACACACGACGTTAACTTTTTAAATAATAACAACGTCTTCGCTCTCGGATTCTGCCTCGTTTTCGGCTTTCGAGGTTTGCGTCCCTTCCCCATCGATTTTCGTGCTTCGTTTCGGAATGGATGACGCCTCRCTTTCTGAGTCTTTCGGCTCTGCTGCCGTATCGTCGATGAAGAGGTGCTTTCCGCTCTTTGGTAAAACCGTTCCGTAAACCAATTCACTTTTTACGCCATTGGGTCCTTCGGTTTTCTTCGTTGTCTTTTCTTCGTCCGAAAGATGATTTTCCTTGGCAGAATCCGACGAATCGTTTGCAGATTCACGCGATGAATCTTTTGGATTCGAGGGTGCCGTGGTTTTCTGCTTCTCCTTGCGCCTTAATTCTCTTCTAGATTTCTTTTCTTCTCGTTCTGCCCTGATCTTATCCACTTTTGCTTCCTTGTACAGCGGTTCTAGATTGCGAATCAAAGTTTGGAACTCGGAACGAATGCGCTTTATATCGCTACCATCAAACCGGAACGAATCTCCTCTTGTGACGAGATCCGAAAATATTCGAGACCGAAATGCCTTTCTCGCTCTCGGAGAAGTGGCCTGATCGAGTTCGTCGATTCCCGCCTCCCTGGCCGAAAATTTTTGAGCTCGAAGTTGAAACATAGCAAAGGCATAACGGCACACAAAGACACCACAATCCCATCCATTGCTCTGGCGAGGAACTGTAATATTGAAGGGAACGTAGGGAAAAGAACATCGATGAGCATTTGATTTCGTACAAGTTCCAAGGTCAGATAACATAATCACACTCCAGCGCTCGATGCATTACCTACCCTGTGGATCGTATATCTTGCAAGTGCTTTTGTTGAATGGTTCTTGGGTCTCATTCTTCACGCGTTTCCATTCGTAGTTCAGCCATTTCATTATATCTTTGTGAAACTTTGCTTTGCGATGTATGTCGAGGGAGTCAAAGAATAGTATGCATGGAAGTGGCCGGTCGTTGGCATCATCGATATCAACCGCTGGTATGATCGCCCCCGGATTCACGACCACGCAGAGCGACCAATGAAGCGATTTGTTGATCGGAATAAATATAAGTCTCTTGTCAAATATGTTGATTTGCTTCCGGGCTGTCCAAGACTTGACACCTTCGGCACCTTCCGACGCAAGAGTTGTGTAAAAATGCGACGTGAAAAAATGAACATTGGAAGATTGCTTGCAGCTGATATCGCGTGAAATCCACTGCATCCACAGATCAACCAACGAATCATTAAGCCATTCTTTGCTGTTGAGCTTTTCGTAGTCTTCAACTCTTATCTCAATATAATGCGACTTGGATTGTTCCGCCGTATCCAGGATTTCGGATTCTGGCGCTGCCCTCCACGCCAGTTCATTTAGATCCTTTGCTGCAGCTTCAATCTTTTTCTTCTCCGCACAAAATGGATAGACGAGCAAGATTTCGTCACTCTTCCTGCCAGCGGTGAATGAGTCCGTTTTGTGCGGTGCAACCCTATTCCTTAGATTGTATTGTTTCTTTGAATCCTCTATCAAAGGAGCAGCTATGGGTTGTGCATCTAGAGGCTGTCCTTGATGTATTTTGCCTGGCGATGCCGAATCAACGGAATCYGTTGATTCAACAACGGAATCAATGAAACCTTGGTGTTGTTGATCGTTTTGAAATTCTAGAGTTAAGCTTACGTTCCTTTCACTCCTTTGCGTCCCCTTTACAAATCTGGCATCGCACCGCAGAGAAACAAAATTTTCCAAGTCAATATCATCGACGTTCATGCCATCCGTATAAAAATAGGTCATTTCCTCGACATCACTCCATTCTATGATCATTTCTTGGTTTCCCTTGGATCGATCCTTTGAATTGAAAAAAGAGATTGTTAGTTGGAGTTTCTCGGTGTTGATCCTAACAAAAGGTTTCACGTCTTCGTGCCTCAGGATTTTGTTTTGGTCCACCACTAGTCGTTTGAGAGGCAACTGAAGTTCGACGACAACCAAAAAGTTCCAAAGGACGCGAAATCCGAGTTAGAAACACAACGACTTGGCACTGAGAATACAAGGAAGAAGCCGCGCGAATCAATGTTCGGAACAACAAACTTACCTTCACTATGCGAGGCTCCTCTTCTTTGGATGTTACCGATGGATCATCCTCGCTTTCGCTGCTAACGATGTCAATGGTCTCGGGTGTTTTCTGTTTTTTGTTTCGTTTTGATCGCCGAATGAACGCCCTGCCTCCGGTATCGGAGAACGCACCGGCAGATGGGGATGGATCCATGGATGCATCCACGGATGCACCCGACAGTGCACCGTATTGGCGTCGTTGGCGAGCGGTATCGCTGCGTGTTTTTCGGTGAGTTGCGGTCTTGTAATAGTCTCCTGCGGTTGGGTTCCAGTTCACAGCACTCTCATCTAGGTGATCAACGACAATAGAGCAGGGACAAACGAAAAAGGGAAACAATCGTGTTGTATCGTAGTGTCAGCAGCTTTCGATTGTGTTGTGCCAAACCATGGCAAGAGCCATCCCACCTTGCGGGACGCTAGCGGACGGTAAGTTGAATACATGCACTTACCTTGATAGCCTTTATCGCGCCAATGTCTCTGCTGCGAATCTCCCTCTCGGTCTTGCGCCCGCTCTTTTTGTAAAGCTGCACCCGGAACGATTTTTTTCGCTGTCTTTTTGCGATTGGGTTTTTGGGCTCGTTTCTTGTTGTTTGCTTTCACCAGGTTTAGACTGTTAAAGGAGCTATTGGTTGTATTGCAATCTGGTAGGAAAGAATCAGCACAGTTGTTCGATGCTCTCGTTGACCTAGGAATGACCCTACGAAAGTCCCCCGCATCACTTTGTTCCGCGGACTTGACCACATCATTCATGTTATCTATCCACCTAGTCTGGGAACGACCGCAACCACCATCTTCCTGGTCGTGCACAACCTCGTTCGTGYCATCGATGTCTTCGTAAGATTTCATTGTGGACGATTKGCGGCCACGGTGTTTCTTTTGCCTATGCATTATTTTTTTCTTCAGCTCTGGAATTTGCATTTGGGCTTGCATTGGAAAGCTCGTATTCTTGGGTGGTAGTCTTTTCCTTGGAATTGGCTTTTCGCGTTCGTCAGTCGAAGACTCTACATGAAAGTCGCTCGAGCCTTCTTTGCCACCCTCGGTGTTCTGCGTGTTGATTGTCTTACAAATCGATTGCTTCTTGGCGGCCCTGCCGTTGTCCTGCCCGGTGCCGTTCCCCAGAGACAAGGGCTTTCGTCCGTTTTGTTTCGAATGGCAATCGTGCACCATCTCTTCGGGTTGGCCTTGCAAGTCGATCAACTGGGATAGAGATCGTACCGCAAAGCCAGCCTGGGACACAATGGAATCTGTGCCATCGTCCATTGCACCCTCTTTTGTAGGGGTGGAAACCACCGGCTCAGAGCAACGCGTCGTTGGATAAGCAGGACAACCGGGGGGTTGTTTTATCCGTTCCTTCTCGGTGTGCTCTCGTATTCGACTGCGCCCGCTCCGGTATTTTGTTTTCGATTCTCTGGGAGCAGAATTTCCTTTCGCCAGCGAGCAAGGCGACTGCAACCGCTGTTGTCTTGACGGCGATGGGGAGGAGGAAAATCGTGGGGTGCACGATGTTTCGTTGGATGCTTTTTTGTTTTTGTTGCCCTCCTCGCTTGTCTCGGAATCATTTTCGTCGCAAAGATCAACCGTGATCTGAGGGTACTGGTACGTAAAGTTCTTTTTGTTTCGCCTGCTTTGCGTTCGGGATTCCATCGAGGACGGTGGACGGGAACTCGTAACGAGTGGCGACTCTGACTGAGACGTGCTCCGCCGAAATTTATCTCTTCTTTTGGAGAAGTTGTTTCTGTTGTAACCGGATTGTTCGTCCTGTATTTTCTGGGCCCGGGCAAGGGGTCCATCGTCGTTCCTGTTGTGTGATAGGCGAGGCCGTTTCTGTCGCAATGACGGAGGTGATTGTCGTTCTTGGTGTCTCTTGGGCATTGCAATGGGGGTGGCGGGCTTTCTTTTTCTTCCGAACATGTCTTTCACCCTACTTGGAATGCTTGATGCAAAACTTGCAATTACCCCTTGTGGCGAAGTCACGTCACCGATGTCGCCCAATCGAGCCCCTTTTTTCGATTTAGCTCTGCGGTTCRACGACATTCGGTAGAATACGCAAGCAGAGAAAGAACGGAATCGATTAATCAATCAGCCAGGCTGTCTCTCCGTTTTCGATGATTTTCAGAGTATTGCTGCTTTTTGATTTTGCATTCTACCGCGGGTGAGATGGTTSGTTTAGAGAAAATYCAGGAGTGTGGTCCGAGTGGCGGGGTCTGTGCTCGTCAATCGCTCGGTTGGTTGGCCGATCGATCGATCGATCGCAGTTGTTKTCTTAATATCCCTCGACTCCACGGAGTCGCTTTCGCTTTAGAGATGGGGAGGACACGACACAGCCTATTGCTTCGTTGCTAGGTCGTCGTTACTTGTCCACCAGTACCATCTACATACGGTACTTGGTACGGTACGAACGGTTCCGAACGTAGTTTTTGTTTTCATTCGTTGAGAGGTGCTATTCCTGTCCTGGTTGCCAAACTCGTCCCAGTAGCTGGAACGGTACGTACCATACCTGGTACGCATCGTTGCTGMAGTGAAAGCTTTGAAAGCATCACCGCATTGCGCGACCGATTTCATTCGTGACTGAAAATAAAAATATGGCTAGAAAATCAGATCTGCCGTTACGATACGATTSGCAGAGAACGACTCTACCGATCTTACTGTACGGTACTCGAAGTGTTTTCCTCCTACGTTCATACCCGGACAAGTATGTTCATACCCAAACAGGTACGTTCATACCCAGATCGGTACGTTCATACT